ATTACTAAAAAGTGGATGTCACATCCGGGTTTCACTGTATTCTGTATGCAGTAGTATGGTATACTGATAGCATATGACAAAAACTGTGGTACTTTCTAGCATATGTGGTAAATTAGCACACCAGTTATATCACCATGTATTATATAACATGCACATATACTGAAACCTCTTCGTAGTGAATCTCTCATCGAATGTATCTTCCGACACTAAAATGACATCAGGCAGGAGTTGTAACGTAATTAACTAGACGAATTACGAACCCATTAATTATACGTAGTCATTAACTACGGATTTTCATTAAATGTGAGATAATTAAACAGAACTTCACTTATATAATATGTTAATGTATAGTAATTTATAGGCATATATTGCTCCAATGCTATTATGTATTAAGTTGTTATAGTATCTTAGGATATATTAGCATATTTTATTTGCGCATACCACTAATAGCATATTTTCCAACGATCATTACGGACAGATGTGTTTCAATCAATCAAGCTACTTCACAGATCAAAGTTCTACAATACGCGACCTGTTGCTTCGGGTGTGAGTACCGCAAGTCCATGATTTCATATAACAAGAATAACATTAAATCAACAAAAAACAGTTACCAGTTGATTACCAGTTCGTGTTGACATTTTGATTCAAAGCTGACAGAAGTACAAAAAGAATTGGAAAATCAAATTCCGCGAAAGAATGTTCAAAAATGCCACTGCTTTATAAAAATCTGCTATGCAAATGAGAGTAGCAAATCAACAACATCAAGTCAACAGCACTTTACTGCAATTTCCACAAAGGTTTTTCTACAGACAAACGTGACGGGCTGACTTATTCGTTGACTTAGTCTATTCGAGAAGAGAATGCAAGAAGAGAACAAACGACAGCATAGTCAACGGCCGCAAATCCGGCTGTCCGATGCAAAGTGCGAATGACACCAACAAAAACAAAATACAAACCGACAAAATTTTTACTTAAAATACCTATACCTACGGAGCATTAGAAGAATCGTGTTTCGTTAAAACTTGTTCTGTTACTTAGAAAAATCTCCTGATTAATGATTTCTGTATATACCTGGTATACACGTACATCAGCAAAAGCAAATGCGCATATTCAAGAAAGAATCAGGACACTTATATATAAACTGTTTCAGCGGTTGTTACTCATCTCTTGTAAAGAACCAAAA